TCACACACACACACACACACACACACACACACACACACACGCACACACACACAACACACACGCGCGCGCGCACACACACACCACCACCATCCCCACCACCAACAAAGGCAAAAACAATATATACAGAGTTGCAAAAGTTCTATCACACCCATTATATTACGATAATTTTTGGTATTGCGTTAGAATTGCAGTAAAAGTTAAAAGTATGACTTGTGATACTTATGAGACTTCTTGTGCCAGAGCAGACCAAAGAAATCATAAACCAGAAGTAGTACGTGGACAAAGTGTTGGTATTGATTCCTCTCGGTCTGTGTTGAAATCAACGCTTCCTACACACAAAATTTGCTTTGAATCACGTAGACAATGTGTAAACACACCTTACACACTATAAAATTCCGTACTTCTTAACTGTTGGGTACCTTGTTCTCCTGTTTTCAAAATTTAAAAAATGATTAATTCAGAAAATAAAGGGGCTGTGTGTATGATAAATTCTTTAATTGCGCTTTCTGCTATTGCAAGACACGTAAATGTTTGGAGAGGAACCATCTAACACTTGAACAAACGTTCAACACCACTAAAACTGCCCAAGACAAGCGGAGACGTAGCCAACCAAGGGCGACAACTCGACATCAGAAATGGGTTAATGTCAATACCCATGTTCAAAACCCATTCCAACTTAGTGAAGAAACTGCCAGGCACTTCGGACTGTCTTGAAACATCATTATTAGACATTGATAAGATCGTGGGTTAATGATTATCACCCTTTATATTGAGCCTGTTTCATAGAAGAAATCGCCACATTTTGGCACAACACCATTGTCGATGAAACTAAAGACATTGGTAAAGTGTTCTTTTCGGCAATGGTTAAGGTTTTTAATTCGTCGCATTGATGGAAGAGAAAAAGTGTTTAAAAGAAGAGAATAGAAATTTCACAAATCCAACGTCCCCCAAGAGGCCCGAAGATGGCTGAAATGTGTTGGTAGGGGTGGAATCTCTGCTTTTTATCTTATACATCAAATAACGACATTACTGTGACGAAATTCTTCGTCACGGTGGCTACGCTACATGGCACGGATGATGGGAGACAACACCCGACCACAAATGGCTACGATCAATTAAAACTTCTTCCAAACACATCAAATCGTTGTTCGGGACTGGACTGCAAGATCCACAAGCCATAACCCAACAGAACATCTGTAAGATGACTTTGACTGGAGGATTAAAAACAGGCCGCACTCCATACAAACTGGTCAGGAACTGAAGGCTGCACTTCACAAGAAATGGCTGGAGATTCTTCAGACCACCATAAAGACTTCAATTCAGTCAGTGAACAGATGTTTTGTAACAGTAACTCAAGCTGGAAGAGGCCACATGCCATACTGAGCAAACTTTGATTTGGATTTTGCAAGAGTCAGTGTGAATAAAGTTATCTCTCTTGGATAAGGAAAGACATTTGTCAGTTCTTTTTGTAATGTTGGCAGAAAATGAATAAAGATCGCGCGTACCAACTTTCTCTTTGCTATGTTGTGTAGTAAATGAGTTATTGTACTTTTAAGGTGGGTGTGGCAGAAATATATCAAAAGAAAAGAGAAAGATCAACCCGCCCTCCCCCATGCACACACACACACACACACACACACACACACACA